GTATCAAAATTTACCAAAAAAAAAAAGCTTAATATTTATTTGTTTACTTTATTAAACATTTCTTTCAACGCGCGCATTCGTAAAGCATACATTACGCATAGTCGAAATTAGAAAATTGCAACCAGAAAACTATTTGATGTGTATTCGTAATATTTATAATGACGAGGAATTTGATTTAAATCATATCAAAGACAGAGTACATTGAGATGAAATACTACATTTAGTAAGGAATTATAAGCCGAATAAAATAAAAACATCTGCCCTGAAGATAAGGATAGTGCTGACAGATCAACTTACAGTTCATTGCGCACCGCAACGTTCCCCCCCCCTTCCGCAGAGCAGCATGAAATTGATAAACAGATTTCGGAATGGTTAGAGAAACAAAGGATATGCCTTTATCCATTTTTTTTCCAGCAATTTCACTTTTTGTTTGATGGACATCGAAACATGCTTTCTCTTTGTATATCCTTTGGCAGCTCCAGAATTAGAAATTCTTTTTCACATAATCAAAAGTTCAAGCTTACTTTTATAAAATTGCTCTAACAGTCTGCAAAAAATAATAAGCCAGATCCAATTCAAAGATTAAGGAACAATGCAATTCGCAACATTAACTGAAATAGATAATTAGATAAGATCGTTTAAATAAAAATACTTTAATTTCAATTAAAAAAATCTTCAAACTTTGTCATTTGTTCATGATTTTATCGTATAGAATTTGTGTAGTTTAAAAAATCAGCCTGCATTTAAAGTACTCTAAACTTTCAATACAGCATTTGTAAATAACCAAAATAATATTAACAAGTATTACTGTATAAAAGTTTGGGTTAGTGTAATTATTCAGTTTGCATTATACCATAATAGTTTGGAAGAGTGTTGGCTTGGCCACTAAAATAAATATAAAATACTATTAGAGATATTAGTATTCTTTTTATTCTAGCTATAAACTTTTGTTCACAAAAATATATAATAGATATAATTGACTACAAAAATATACACCAGTTCGTAAGCTATAATAAAATGCTTACAAGATTGTAGATTGTCACTAGATATTTTATAAATACCAAACAAAATATCTTTTTACATAAAAAGAAGAAAAATATGAAAGGCAATTCGAAAAGACAATATGTCTTCCACTGTATTTTATGCATGAAATAAGATGAATTATTCCTATACATTGCATTGCTGTTTGGAAGTTCAGTCTTAATGCACTGCAGCACATAAAAATGTAAGAAAACATTTTGAAAAATATCTTCAAATGACTTCATTTTATCAACACAAAAATATATTACGTAATAGCAAATAATAAATAAACACATTTAATTTCACTATATTCTTGTAAAACATATTTACATGTATAATGTGCTCAAATGAATATAGTATGCATAAAAATATTTAATAATTTATGCAAATTATAATTTTTAACTGCCTTTCTTTGCTTTTAAAAATTTATAGATACATATTGATTTCATGATTACAGGAGCAAAATAATATAAAATGCATTTAAATTTTCAATTAATATTATTTATGCATATTTTATTTTAATACAGTGAACACAGGCATATATCCTAAATGAGATACAGATATATATACATTATACTCGCAATTTTTATTTCCATAATAATTCATTCTCTTTAACTAAATATACATTATACACCACATATAGCTCATCCATAAAAGTATACTATTTCTTTCTAGAATTATTTTGCTGACCAATATTTTTTAAGGTATTTTCAATAACATGCAAGAGCTTTTCCTACAATTTAAAGGTCATAACCCTCTTTTTCTTCTCACCATAATATATGTAGAAACATTAAAGATACTTTATCATTTTAAGCACTTGAATTAATTAATTTTTCTTTATTTACTTTTAAATGGAACAGGTGAAAAAAATGTTATGCCAGTTTCTCTTTATAAATGCAAAATATATTTAAATGTCTATGCAAGAAAACAGTAGACTCAATTTATTGTTAAAGGTATAACTGTAGTGTATGAAAAAAAATCTAAAAAAAGGGGGAAGGAAAATTTTTTAATATCAATGCCATGAAACAATTTTCTTTAAATTTTGAAACTATTTAAAAATCTGTAGTCTATATAGCATTGATATTAAATACGTACACAAAAAAAAAAAAAAAAAAAAAAATTAATGGTGCTTAAGTAATTTTTCATTGACCATTTTCGACAAACAAAAGCACTTGCTAAACGCTAGTAATGAATAAGCAAGATATAACAACACACTCATGAGAACATTGCCTTTGTTTTGTCTAACACCAATTAATTCTTGATAAGTCAGTCTATTTATTGTAAAAAAAGGACTCGTTAACTGCTAATTCCCTGTTCTGATTTTGTATTTTGAAAGAAATTAAAATTTGTGTTTCGTTACAAATGTAACATGGAATGTTGTGAGAAGCAAAAATCCATTAGAAAAGGAATGTATTTCAAGGGTTTTAAAATTCTATTTGTGACTGCACTCAGGCTCATTTCCAATTTATATTTGTTGTTTATTTAGATAAATAAAGAATGGTCTGTTTCTTCAAACTTTCTCCAGAACAAATGTCACAAGTTCGGTGGGGTTTCTGCCAACTTTCATGGTCAATAGGAAACTACATAAGTACCAAATTAACATATGTTTACTACTTTTTATGATGCTGTTTATTGTATGAATGTAATGAAAATTTATAACTTAAAATATTTAAAATGAATAAGTATTTGTAAAGCCACTTCCATCATGTAAACTTTTGGAAAATGTCTGTAGCCTATACAGTCTGAAAATGAAGTTACAAATATTCTCTCAAAATTTTCTAACTATTCTCTTCATCATACTTTTATAATTCAATTTCCAAAACTCTGTGATTTCTCTTAATACCACTGATGATCAATTTACTTCCATTTCTATCGAGAAAATTGTCATTTATTCCTTCATTTACTACCTAATTTATCTAGTTTCACGTATTCTTGACTTTTGTTTATTTTATGTATGCATCAGTGTTCAGGCTTGAAGGAATATATCGGTTTTGTGAGTTTATTTTTTTTCTAAATTATGGCAATTAAAGGCAAAACAAATATACTTTCAGTTACCATTTATAATTAAAAAAATTAAACAGCAAGTGTATATATAACGAATTGTGATGAGTGAAAATCAACATTTACAGGTGTTAAAAAGAATGAAAGAATATATTTTAGACAAAATGACTTAAAATATTCTTTAAAAAATAAAAAGGCAGTAATATTCAATATATAGGCAAAACAAATATCAGACAGTTTGGCAGTAATGTTCAATATATAGGCAAAACAAATATACTTTCAGTTAATATTTATAATTAAAAAGAATTAAACAGCAAGTGTATATATAACGAATTGTGATGAGTGAAAATCAACATTTACAGGTATTAGGAAGTATGTAGGTTTGCAGGTGAGATTTTTGAATATGCGATATACGACTAATTTTAACTACTTGTACTTTTTATTTGTCATTTTTTACATGTTCTTTTCTGGTCTTTTCATAGAAATATGAGATACAAATTACTGAATTTAAAAAATGAATCATCTATGTAAAGTTCAAAAATATGCAATAAAATCTTGCATAAAAAAGTAAAATAATCTCCAGAATTTTTTATAGTCGGACCTAAGTTTTCAAAGGCGAAATGTTCATCAGTTCTATTTAACCTATCATTTTTAAGTTACTATGTGTCAATAGCCAAAACATAGAGATAGCTTTTGCTTTTTATCTCCCTCCACTTTTTGTCGTAATATTCATTGCATACATCAATAAACTTCCTGATTTTACAAATTTCCAAAGCTGAATTATTTTGAAATTTGCCATGTAGCAGTGTGTAGTGAAATCGCACTATTTTACAATTTTTAACTACCTATCTGTAGATTATTAGCAGTTATTTTGCGCAAGTAATAATAACTTGTATTCGCACTAAATGGATTTAAGTTCATACAACATTATATATATATATAAAGACATAAAAAACATAAAAGGCTAAATATATATAAACTTATTTCAGAAAAATTGAGAATTCTAGGTGGGGGAGAGATTTTCTTGTAACTTTTCTGATTTTTTCTAATAAATGTATTTTTAAAACTTTCCTTTTTAAAAATTTTCTTACATTCTTTTCTTTTTTTTTCCCCCTAAATTTATAATTGCTGTTATTTAAAAGACATAGAAATCTTGAACATTTTAATGGGCAAAAACAACTTAGCTGTTATTTCATGCAAAATAATGGAAGACTAAACATGATTAAAAATACATTAAGAATGAATATTTTAGTGAATAATGATAATCACTTTTTTAATTATATATTATAATGTTTTATATGTGGTATAAAAGACAGACATGAAGGAAATGTACAACATACAAACACTCTAAACCAAGCATATATCAGAACCACTAACTTCACATTCTTTGGTCCACACATTATAAAATACAGGAAACACTATCACTACAAGTATATAACAACCACTATGAGTGATGCACTCTACAAACAGCGTAGCACATAGTACTACTCTTTTGAAAACCCATCACCAATTATATACTGTACATGTCAATGCAAAATACAAAAACTACAATCACTTACAACAAAATATGCTGCAATTAAAAAAGCATATCTAAATTATTTGTTATTACAAAATTGGGAATTCAAAAATATATATTGTTTTGTTTCAAAAGTTGCACGAGTTACGTAATAATGATATATTAATTCAAGACAAAATTATATATATTCTTTTGTTTTGAAATGAGAAATTATTAAAATATAATATTTGCATCAAGTGTTACTTTTAAGTATATATAGTTAGGCACACAATTTCAAGCAAATGCAAATTTATTAATAACTTCACATATGCCTGAATGTTTTATTATATTCAAGCATATTAATACATAATTTTAATATATAATATGAATATAGTTCATTAACAATTCTTAAAAATCATTTTTAAGATATAAAATTATAATAATAAAAGCTTATTTTTCTAACATTTTTAGTTTATATTGAACAATTCTTAAAAATCATTTTAAGATATAAAATTATAAATAATAAAAGCTTTATTTTTCTAACATTTTTAGTTTATGTTGAGTAACTGTTTAAATTTTAACTACTATTTCAGAACAAAGCCTGCTTACCACCTAGGCTCACAATGCTTGAGCCTTAAGTCCCAAATCTTCCCTAAATCTTCTTACACTTTCTTATAATTATATTTTTCTCTTAAAAGTGTAGGCATTGAGTGCAGACATTCCTAAAACCCCAGACTAGCTTAAATAGGCCCTATGCTAGAACTTGATGAAATCATACCCAGAAAACAGCAAACAATTATATCAACTGCATGTGAAAATTTGCAACATGTATGCTATAATAAATATAGCATTTACTTCAGTTTCCATTCTAACTTTATTCTCATAAATGTGTACTATGTGAAACATAAATTTAAAAACATTACTCGAATATGACATTTAATAAAAAGTGGAACAAACATATTTTACAGACAGCTTCCCATTCATAATAAGTGAAAAATAGAAATAACAGTCACAACTTGAAAATTTATGAGAATTAATTTAATGTGTTCATTGTTAAAATTTTCTTCTATAACTGCTCTATTGCATTGAAAATATGTCTTTTTTATAATATACAGTTTTCAGATTTAATATACATTGGAAAAAAAAAATTCCTCTCTCTTCCCAACCCCTTCCCCCTCCAAATTTGATTAAATACATCATATTGTGTTTGATATCACAATTTTATAAAGTTTCCTCAAACAGGGTTGACTACACTTTTCAAATTTCTAGTTTTAATATTATGTACAGGAATCACGAAAATGCATAAAAGTGATTCAATATATTTTCGTTAATTTCAAATTGTGCAATATTACATGAAGTCAGAAAAAACGCAAACAGTGGTGGGGAGAAAGTTAATGAGATTTAACAAGTTCAGATGCAGTCAGCTGTGGTGTATATCATTGTGTTTATGAGCTTTGCTTCCCATGGATCTCGCTTCTACTTTGTGATATCATCTCAGCTAGACAGAGAGAGAAAGAATAATTCACCCTAATTCATACCTCCTGATTCACAATTTCATATATCTAAGGATCATTACTTGCCTTTTGATTGTGCTGAATCTGATTTTTAGGTTGCAATTAGAGCTATGTATAAGACATTTTGCAATGTTTGATAGTGCCAAACTTGATTTTGAAATTAAATCAAATGTATGATCTGAAGAAATACCTTTGATATAGTTACTTATTTCTCATTTGTACAGTATGATGAACCAACATAATTAACCTGTCACCTAAATATTGCAATTTCAGTAATTAATGTGGTTCATTTACATCTATGGGCTTCTAATATCTACTGCCAGATGCCACTTTATTGAATTCCAAAGATTTAAGTTAAATTGTTATAGGTTTGTGGTGTATTTATATCTATGAAATCTTCACATTTTCTGCAAAATATTGCTGCATTTAATTCTAAAGATTTTCAACTAAGATTTTTATATAAAATTAGTGCAGTTCAGTATTGAACTGTTCGAAGAAATGGTTGTATTTTCATAATTTCCCGTATCTGGCACAATAAGAAACTTTTATATACAGACATTATGTATATTTCTATCTAAAATCTATTTTCACCACTTAATAAAAAGTAATACAGATATATTAAAAAAGATTAGTAAAGTAGTTTTAAAAGTAGCAAAGATAGATTTTACAGAAATATTTCTATTTACAATAAGTGACAAATAGAAAATTACTAAAGTTATAACTTGAAAATTTATGAGAATTAATATTTTCACTATTAAAATCGGTCTTGTTTCTAAAACTGTTCTAAATAAAATTACAAATAAGATGGTGAAGAAAATGGAACTAATGATGACTTGCAAATTAATTAGAATAACTCAATACATTGTGGAACTCAGATATTTCCCATTCCAGTGGAAAATAGCGGTTATCTCACCAATCCCGAAGCCTGGAAAAGCAGCTACTAACCAGAATCGTACCAGCTAATAGTCTCCTGAAAGTTTGCAGTGAAATCACCGAATCTGTAATACTCAAAGCCATCAATCTGTACTGAAAATTATGGACTTCTAATTCCCCAACAATATGGATTCAGAAAATATTACTCCACTGTGCATCAGCTTTACTGAGTAACTGAATCAATATTATCTGAATTTCCAAAAAAGCTCAGCACAGCCACTATTTTCCTAGATATAGCTAAGGCCTTTGATTGTGTTTGGTTCAATGAACTTATTTACATGCTAATCACTGTGGAGTTCCCAGAACACATCATAACAGCAATCTATTCCTGTATTCTGTATTTAAAAAATACATATTCCATTAAGCAAAAAATCTGTGCCAGTATACCTCAGGGTTTGCTTTTGGTGCCTTCACTCTTTAACATTTACATGAACGATATCTCACACATGCACAACACAACACTCGCTATGTAAGCATATGATACTGCAATCCTCATCCAAAATGCATCTATTAACTCAGCTATATAACAGCTACAAATACACATCTACACACTTGAGTTCTGGCTCAACAAGTGGAAAATTAAAATCAACTTCGAGAAAACTATAGCAGTAATGTTAATCAAGAAACTGAATGTTGAAGGAAATGGTACTTTTTACAGCCTTCCTATTTCTTGAACCAAAGAAGTCAAAGACTTAGGTGTAATATTAGGCCATCATTTAACATGGAAGTCCCACACTAAATACACAATTACAAAGTTTCGAGCTAGTAACTACATTCAACCCCCTAATTGCTCGAAACAGCGTTTTAGCTATAGATGAAATATCACTCATTTATAAGACCATGTTGTGTCTCATACTTATATATGCATGCCCAGTCTAGGGTTATGTCTGTAAAAGTACACTGTTAAAATTACAACAACTTCAGAACATTACACTAACAACTGGCAAACTATCCTTTTTATATTGGAAATCCTAGTACATCTTTGTCTTTGGTATATCAGCTATCCATAACGAATGCAGAATACCACTAATAGTAGAAATCATGATAATACTTTCAGAAAAATTCTACACTGATATAACCAAAGCAAACAACCCAACAATTCCAGTACTAAACTATGCTGTCAACTCAGAAGAACACACGGAAAGACCTAAAACCATCATCAGAAATGTACTATAGAAGTATCTCCTCTTTTGTTTAACTTTTAATTACTTTAAAACTTAAAAAAACTTATTAATTACTTATTTAATTAATTAATATTACATTATAATATATCAAAATATATGGCTTAGTACCAATAATTTGGAAAACTTAAAATACAGGAGCCCAATACAACTGAACATTAGTTCACTGAGGAGAACTGTTCTATTAATTGCATGTAATTATGAAGTATAAAGTTGTAATGTTTGTGTGTTACCTGTTCTCTCTGTCTGCTGAAACTTAAAATGGGCGAACTGATATCATAATGCAGAAATGCGGCCCACAAGAAGCAAAGCTAAGCTATTCACAGTTTTGCATCACATTTGCAATATAGCTTATCTTAAGTTATTTTTGGGTGTAAAATTCATCATGATAAATATTGTGTACTTTCATAAGAAGAAATCTTTCTCAAATGAAAACCTCTAGATATCCCTGCATTATTATTTGTTTTTAAAATTGTTAAGAGTTTAGATAAGACATTAAATTTAAAATGTAAACACAGTTAAATTTCTGCATACCCTTTCAGAGAAAATTTTTCATTAGCATTTCAAAGAACTGCTTTTTTATGTAATTAATTATAGTAGTCAGTAAATTCATGTTTGTGAACAGTTTCATTCATATACTTTTATTCTTATTAGTCATTTTTTACATACAAGCAATGAAAGAATAGTTTTAGAGCAATGAAATTACAGCAATAAAAGAATAATTTTAGAAATGAAATTCCATTCTATGCTGAAATCGAAATATTTTGCTATCCATGTAATTTCAGTATCTACACAATAAACCACATAAAAGATAAATTTAGGCCTTTTTTGCATTGAAAATATTAATAAAATAAATATAATAATGCTAAAATAATTTTACATCAGTCTGTTTAAAAAGCCATTCATAAATGATTCACTGATTTTGCAAACATTTAAGTTGTATATGCCTCCTAAATTTTCATCATAATGAATTATTGTTTCAATTAATTTCTTTATAACTATAAAATGAAGATTAAAAATACATTGTATACTTCAGTTACTATTTTAATTGCCTTTTCCCTCATTTATTTCTCATGCAAATTAAAATACAACTCATGTTTTCTCCTATTTTGCTAACTTAAACAGATTTTCTTTGATATATATATATTTTCCTTTTAACTATAAATTTTCATAATGATTTTAAAGACTAAAAATTCTGTAAATATATTATATTAGGCTAGAGTATATTCATACCACAGATTAATAATGAACAACAATAATGCTCTTGATTGAAAGGACGGCTTCCAGTAATGCTTTCACGATTAAAGGGAATACTGTGCCTAGTGCACAGTGTTAACTTGAAGCAATTTAAAAGCTAAAATTTTAATTTTAAGACCAGCTTACTGCTTTTAGATTAATTAGAACAATGTGCCTAGTGCACAGTCATAACTTGAATTTAAAAGTGAGGAATTTCATTTTCTATAAAATTAATGACTTAAAAATGAATTTAATTATTTCTAATTGCTCCCCCTCCCCCCATAAAAATGGAATTAAAACCTATGATGGCTAAAATCTATAATTCAAAATGCTTTTTGATTCCCGCTGGCAGGAAATTGATACAATGAGTGAGATCACAGAATCCCTAAGTTACTCTTTTTCAACAGGTACTATATTTGTACACGTTATGGGTGAATTATCTTATGATTCAGAGTAATTCTGAATTTATGTAAAATTACAAATGTTTGGCAATATATGCGATGTTATTTATGATGAATGAGCAAAAATAAGATATTATATTTTATGGTCCCTATAAAATCCCTGCTATTCACATAAAAAGTTCACAAAACATATATATATATTATAAAATCTAATAAAAGTATTTATAAAACTATCAGAGCATATATGAAGATGATAAATTTCTTAAGCATAAGGAATGTAAATCTTATTCTTAAAATTTAAAACTTAAAAAATATTTTCTATACATGTGACTGAACATCCTATTGCAAAAAATTCTTGTGAATTTCAAATTTAATTAACTGGTCATGAAATGTACCACAAATAATTGGGAAATCTCCTTGCACTTATACAACAGTTGATGCTATTTGCAATTTCAATACTTTTCATGAAATATTTTTATGAAACTCACATATAGTCTAAATTTGTACCTAAATATGCTGAAGGTCATTTTGATTGTGCACTAGTACCGGGTTCTGTGCCAACAGAAACTGCAGATTTTGTAGCTTTTTTGGCCTCATAAGTTGGCGACTGCAGTTCAAAATCACTGAAGAAATCATGATTCATAGCGTCCTTGGCACTTATACGTTTCAAAGGATCAAAGGTGAGCATTTTCTAAAATTAAACAAAAGAATAAGATTTAAAAATTAATATATAGTTTTCATTTTATGTGACAATAAATAAATAGATAAAAATTTCCTGTTAGACACAAAAACATACGAAATTTTGTGTTAAGCACAAAAACAAATTAAAAAGTAAATTATATAAATATATATACAGTACAAAGTCCATAATCTGGACGTCTATTATCTGAAATGATCTATAATCCGGATCACAAAGCCACAACCTTTTTTTTTTTGTTATGATTTACACATGCGCATTTCATGTATAACGGACAGTATAAGCTAGGCTAAAATTATCTTTACTGATTCTAAGGCATTTCTGTTAATGTCGCAGACTGTGCTGTTCCTTAATCTTTTAATTGGATTCAGCTTATTATTTTTGCAGACTGTTAGAGCAATTTTATAAAAATTAAGCTTGAACTTTCGATTATGCCAAAAAGAGTTTCCAATTCTGGAGCTGCCAAAGGACCTACAAAGCAAAAGCATGTTTCGATGTCCATCAAACAAAAGTGGAATTGCTGCAAAAAATGGATAAACGCATATCCGCCTCAAAATTATGCGAGGAGTAGGACATTGGAAAGTCAACTGTATATGATATAAGCAAAAAGAAAAAGGAACTTTTTGAATTTTTTGTGGATTCCGACATCCCACTTTCAATGAATAACAGAAAAAGAGTTTGTTATGCTAAAAGTGATGATCATGACAAAGTGATGATTGAATGGGTTAGACAGTGTTGCAGCGAGGACGTGCCATTGACAGGTCCAATGCTAATGGCTTAAGCCAAAATATTTCATGAAGAAATGAACTTAAATACTGTGTGCACATATTTGACAGGTTAGTTAACCAAATTAAAAAATCGCCATGGTATAAGAGAATTAAAAATTTCAGGTGAAAAAGCTTCAGCTGATACTGAAGCTGCTGAACAATTTGCAGATGAATTCACTGAACTCATTACTAGTGAACAATTGTTTCCAGAACAAATTTACAACGTTGATGAAACTGGTCTTTTCTGGTAATATGTACCACAAAATACCTTGGCAACCTCTACAGAAAAGGCTCCAACTGGTGTCAAAGATTCCAAAGCGAGACTATAAATTTTAATGTTCGCAAATGCTGCAGGAATGCACAAAAGCAAACTTTTCATAATACGAAAATATGCACGACCTTGAGCATTTAAAGGAGTAATGATTTTCGCCGTTATATATCATGCAAATAAAACAGCATGGATGACACAAGGGTTGATGAATGATTGGTTTGAAAATCATTTTATACCCGAGGCTCGGCGACAGTTGAATTTGGTGGTTTACTTGATGATTCAAAAATAGTCCTGATTGTTGACAACTGTTAGGTGCATACTTCGTTTTAGTGAAGTTTTAGTGAAAGATAATGTATCCCTATTATTCTTCCCTCTAAATTGTACATCTATCATTCAGCCTATGGATATGGGAATAGTGCACGTGTTGAAATGAAAATATAAAGTAGCATTTTAAAAATCTATGTTAAATTTCTTGAACAATGGCAAGACTATTCAAGACTTTTAAAAATTTTTTAGCATAAAATCTGCTGAGTGGAGCATCGCAAGATCTTGATGGGAGGATGTGTCTCGATACGTTAAAAATTGCTTGGCATAATTTATGGCCAGCTACCATATTTCATGGCGAGGACGATGAAGATGATAGCCCCGAATTTGAAGGTTTTCAGACATCGCAAACTAAAGGTGAAATTTTCCAGTTATTCGATTTTGTAAAGAAATGTGGAGAAGCGGTAATTAATGATGATGATATAACAGAAGTTTTTCATTGCGACAACAATGCCCCAATCATCAATCAATTAATGGACGGCGAAATCTGTAGTATGGTTCTAAATCCAGAAAATACCCTTCCAATAGTGAAGAAAGTGACAGAGAGGTTATTGAAAACGAAAAAATTTCGATTGACAAGTTAGTCGGTATTCTCGACACAGCAATTACAGGACTTGAACAGTGGAACTTTGTAACTGAACAAGAAATTATATCTGTTTATAGAATTAAAGAGAAAGTATTAGCACAAAAAACAAAGCAACTTAAACAACTTACATTGAAAGAAATGTTTAATAAAGTAAACAAATAAATATTTTTTTTTTTTTTTTTTTTTTTTTTTTTTTTTTGTAAATTTTGATACCCTTTAGATCATAATTGCTCTTTATTTCATAAATTACAGTTTCATATTTTTAATTGTATAATTTCAGCATGCCATCTTACCAGATTTAAATTGATGATTTATAATCCAGAAAAACCCCTAATTCGGAATCGCGACGAGTCTGGATTAGGACTTTGTACTGTATATAAACTGGATTACACATAACATATGTAACCTAGAACTAAAAACACTTCAGCATTTTAAATGTAGTCCTTCTCAAGAGCAATTTAGATGAGTTCAAAAAAAAAAAAAAAAAAAAAAACCCTGTGACTGTATAGCTGTTTTCTAGCCTTTTCTATCTTTTAAGCAGTAGTGAATTCCTTGTCATGGACTACCTCCTAAAAATATCATTAGATTTATCAGGAAGTGTCATATTGATAAATTTGCTGAAGTGATAAACAACTGTCCCAGTGTTATCTCCCTAGCTTCTAATGATTGTCAGCTAGTTTCTTATTTCCAGTATTCAAAAATGTTTTCTAAAGGGAAAACTGTTTTCTAAAGGGGTCTTGGCTGTAATTTGTTAATATCTTATTTCCACTGGTTTCATGAGTCTGTGCTGATAGGTAATTCAAGCTGCAGGATATAATACAGTCTGTTTCTGCTTTCATTAATGATGAAGTAGCACACAGAAGATGATGTTCAGTATACATAGCACTAAAGTCTCCAGATATGCTCATAATTTTCAAAGGACAGCCCTGCACAGTAAGGTGATCAGATTTATCACAATTTTTGAAAGCGCCAGAACTATAACAGCAAGTCAATTATGCTCGGTGTATAGTTTTTGAGGAATATATCTGTAGACTATATGACTTACTGCTGCACTTTTAAGTTCAATCATCTATTATATTTCTTTTTATCACCAGATTAAGGTTACTTTTAATCTCTCACTTCATGAAAGTGCATTCTTTTTTCCATCTAGGTTAATATTCTACCATAAACATCAGTCTTCCAGCAGTCTCTTAGAAAGAATGCATAAATCCTCAGACATGGTTTAATCCATTAATGAATGACAAAGAGATATCTAGTTATTTCCATGGACAATGACTGATTAATGAATGCATTAACACGTTGGATAATTTTGCTATGGAAATGAAAAGCAGTATTACTCAGAAACATAATACATCTTTGTTTAGAATTGAAAGCATAACAAAAGTCAGATGAAAAGCTGATTTCTGGTGATTAAAGATGTTTACGATGAGCCAAGTTGTTACATTGTAAAACTTAGTCAAATAATAATCTTTAAACTTTAATAAAACAGCAAGGAACTTGTATGAAAGATATGACATTCCCATCAGACAAAATTTTAAGGAGTTTCGAGAGTATCTTTCAGAAAGAACATCATCCTAATTTCGACAAGAAGTGTGAATCTTGCAAATGAGTTTTATAATGACTTCAGTAACAGTTTCATTGCATTTAAACACAGAATCAAACTTAATGTTTTATAAAACTGGTAGGTTCTCCTTTAAAATTATTTAAGTCTTTAGTGTTCATAAATTCAAGATTTAAGAAAAAATGACATCTGGGGATGGATGCGAAAAGCCAGCAGAGGAAATGGGGACGTGTAAATGAAAAAACTTTATGCTAGTCTGGAAGTTATTGTGAACTGCATAATATGATGGATTAATGCCCATTCTTGGTAAAATATGTTCTCCCACTGAATACTTTTTTTAAATATGAATTATGAAAGGTAATTTCATTGAATCAAACTGAAATTTCCTAAACAATTTTTTTAGGAAAGAAAAGCATTGGATACATACTGTTTTCACAAAAGTCCTTACCAAGCCTTTATGCTTGAAAGTATTGGCTGTGTCAACTTAACAGCATTAAGGGCACCTGGCCAAACCAGTATGTTGTGGCCTCAATGACTCATAGAAATGAAATGTAAATGGTTACCATAGGCAAGTGCTCAGAGAGCCCATGCATTAAGATGGCCCTGATTCCTGATCATAGACATATACTTCCAACTACAAAATATTTTAAATGCAAATATTCATATTTTGGCAATTAAAAAAACTTTTATAAAAATAATAAAATCTAACAATTTACTCGTTTTCTTGGTCACTATGCTTATAATTAGGAAAATGTTATGCTCGTTATGAATAATAAAATACAAAAAGTAAGATTAAAGCAAAAATTGACAAGAAATTTCATTTTAAATTTCTAGGTATCTTTTCTTGACAACATATGTATACAAACTCAACACAGCAATAGTTTAATTTATATGTAACTAAAAATAAAATATAACTTTGGGAAAAGGTTTCTGGCCTTAATACATTAAGTAAGGAGTACAGATATGAAAACTGAGATGAAAAGATTGGATCAATACAAAATTTTTAAAAAAGAGATGTATATTTAGCACAGAATACAAATGGTAAGTATCCACTGCAAATCAGTTCTCTAAAGGAAAGACTCAATCTACATATTTTTCTTAAATAGGAAGAAAATTAAAGATAGAACAGTATTTTTTTATTAATCAATAATCAAAATATTGCACTTCAGGAATTTATGGAAATAACTCTCTTATTTACTGTAAGATTATCTATTAAAAACATCAATTAAAAATAAAAATCAGTCTTACAATACACTATGGTAGTACTCAATTACAAAAACAGAAAATAAATAATTCATAAAACTGAAAAAGCGACATATTTATAATAATAATAATAATAAATCATAAAATGAGAGATTGTAAGATGAAACAAAGGTTTCACTAATTAAATTATTTTAGTGTTATAATTATTCATAATCACTGCTCTCAGCAGCTACACATAATTGTTTCCATAAAACAAAGTGTTCTTGAACTCTGTTAACATAATTGGTATTACATACACATTTGTGCCTAATGTAAGGAACTCATGTAAGACTGAGCAGGTCTGTATGACTTGATTCTCTTTCATATGCTTTGTAAAAAAAAAAAAAAAAAAAAAAAAACTTATGATAATGATTATGCTTGGACCATTATCATGTTAAGTCCAGATCATATCACATCCAATAATATTAATTCCAAATGCACTAAAAAAATTACATGGTAAGCTAGAACCATCCTGCTGAAACCACACATTCCAACAACATTTCACTGAGACATTTCGATGAGACTAATAAGTCAGAGAATGGTTTATTTAATATTTTCCTTTCATTTCTTTGTACTTCTTACCAGTTAAAAGTACTGTAAAAAATTAATGCCTTAATGAAGGTTTCACTTTGTACCTTAACCCTTTCCGGCACGCTACCTTTTAAAGTTGGAATTTCGATTTAAAAAAAGGTAGGCAGTCTAATTAGGCATATAGGAGTACACAAGTAAAATTTTGTAAAGATAGCACTTATCGTTTTAATTCTTTGAGTGTGCCTGAAGCGGGCACACTCATTGAATATACTTCGAAAAGAGTGCTGAAACGAGCATTGCTAGGAAGCGCGTAAAAGAGATTTTGCCTATGATTAAAAAACACTAGATTTTGAATACCATAGCAGATTTAGCATTACCCAAGGTGTGCCGCGGGGAGATCTGGTACTCTACACCTCCCCTAGAAAGCTCATTTTTGGTTATATGATGATTACATGCTTATGAATGAAAAAAAATAACTTGAGTATATGATATTTACATAATTTACATTTCATATTTACACTTTAGTCTTTTTTTTTCATTGCGGTACTTTTCGAAGAAAGTGACACCACCTTTAAAAAAGCACAACCCAATATTGCATGTTTTGCACATGTGCTGGGATTTGTATCAGATTCGCTATCTGAAAGCAATTCGTGTAACACTTTTAGTGCTTTAGAAATGGTCAGCCCTCTCCGATCCATTTGGAAAATAATTAAAAATCCGAAAAAATAAACTAATACTATATCTACAATTTGAAATTATAAACTATAAAATAAAAAATGTCTACAACACAAAATTGTTAAACGTAGCCCTAAGAAAACTTCTTTGAACCAAAGCAAAAGAGACAAAGAGAACTGCTCTAGCGAAAAACGAAACAGCTAACTGATTATCTCTGACCTTCAGAAAATCACAACAACTATTTCTATTTTAATAACCATACCTCCCTCTCTCTCAAGAAAAAAAAAGGGGGGAGAAAAGAAAAAGAAAAACAGGAAATAAAACACAGATGTGGACCCACCTTTCTATGTTAATGAGCTGACCGAGATGAGCTGCAGAGAAACAAAGATACAGCTTCCTCTCAGTGACCTAGACTCGCAGTGAACCCAGTCTGGGAACACCTCGGTTCGCCGTTCGATTTTACACAAGATTTCGAGGTAAAAATTTAAAACTGATACAGAATAAGTAGATTAGCATACAGCCAAAAAAATAACATAGAAATTTCCTTTTGAACAATTCCTTTTATACCCAAAAAAAAGTCTGGAATATTTCTTTGAAAAATACGGGTCTTAAAAAACTAAACATGGCTAAAATATATGGACTGGTTTGTGTTGAGCTGCCATCTACTATAAATAAAGAAGGTTCAGAGTAACCTATTGTAACTTTCAAATTCTTTTTCATTCAATTTTTCTGTGTGTACAGAAGGAAATTTTTAGGTGTGCTGCCAAACAATTATAAACTGAAGAATGTTACACATTAGTATAACCTTAAATGGAAATAAAAACAATATTGATTTATTTTCAGTTACTTTTTAACCAACCCCTCAAAAGGACGATGATAAATTAGATCTTCTTGCGATGTGAAATCCTTAAAAATCACTTTTACTGTACTTAAAATTTGAAGGAAAAAAAAAAAAAAGAAAAGCACCACTTTTGAAAACCATCCAACTATCCGGCATTCAACTAACTCGAATATTTAAGAAGTTTCTACCTGAAAATTTAGTAAATGAGAGATTTCTACTGCTATAATAGAGTTCATAATAATAGTATAAATTTCCCCAAACAGTGTGATTTAGCACCAATAATAGATGTTTTATCAGTTAGCTGTTTATTTTTTCACTAGAGCAATTCTCTTTTTCTCTTTCGCTTTGGTTCAAAGAAGTTTTCTTAGTGCTACGTTTAACAGTTTTGCATTGTAGACATTTATATTTTTATTTTATAGTTTATAATTTTAAACATCCTAACTGTGAAAAAAATAATATATATGTGCCAATCCCAATATTTACATTATGTTAGTTTGGCAACATTGTTGTTGTCGTTTTCATTCCTATCTGGTGTGCATTGCTGTGGTTGCTTGTTTCCATGTAACCTATATATTCTCAATATATACTTGATTGTTCAACCTGGACTATGTCATTTACTTACTCATGAATATTTTAAATTTTAACAATAACAACCATACGAATGTTTTAGTTTAATGTAAATTCGTGATAAAACAGTTTAATTTTTATAAAGAAGAATATAAATTCTAATTTTTCCCCTTTTATTTTGAAAAAAATGATTAATATTTGGGATTGCATGAAGTGGAGTATTTTCAGAGTAATACGATTCTGGCATCAAAAAAAGCCATAACATTCAATTTTGAAAATGGGTAAACGATGGGGATGTAACATGAAAAATTATGATAAGAGATTTAAGTTTTTTTATATGCTAGATCCATAATTTGTGTCTCTTTATAATCAAACTAAATAAAAAACAACCTGTTTAAACATCTACTACCAGAATGATTGGTGATAAATCCTTGCCAAATTTCACATTAGACACTATTTCATAATAATCGAAACACAGTGGCTTTCATGAATGAAATGCATTTTCCCTCCTAAATCTTACATAATTTTAAATGCACGCTTTTCATATTCAAGTTGGTGACAAATACGTTGATTTTTTTTAAAAAATAATTTTAGAGTGGAAGTTTTCCCTATTTGTTTGGCTTTTTTAATATAAATTCGGTGTTTTATTACTCAACAACTATCCAGAATTTTCACGTATTTGAAATTTGCATTTCCGGAGCTTTCCTGATAATCAAGCCTTTACTGTATCTCGATCAATATTTATCATATGCAAGTGAAATATTTTGTATCTCATGTTTTATAAAAAAAAAATTAAAAAAATCTGGAAGGTTTCAGATTTTAAATGAAGTCCAAAGGGACATTTTTTAAACGTTTTGTGTGTTACCTTTATTTATTAAATATTATGTTTGCACTTAAACCATAAAATTCAGTTCAATAGCAATGTCGCAAAATAATTTTAAAATGAGCATATCTTTAGCATTTCTGATACACAGTTCCATGCTCTGGAGATAAAAAGTATTTTTTTCCGTGTAGAGTGTTGCCCTTGCTAGCTTTTAAATCACTGCATTTGTTACTCAAAAATTCGTTAAAGTTTTACAAAATATGAAATCGATAATAAAACAAATTCTAAATTTCAAATTTGGGCTTCCACATGCCCATATTCCTAGAAGGATTACGTCATTCAAAATTTGATGGCTCTGTGTACCGTTGTTTTATTCCAATGCGAGAAATATATATACATTTATGCAGATTTTTCATTATTTAATTTCTTCAAATATAATGCAGGACTCTAAAATTTGGTGGCAACAGTTTGAAAAGTGAAACGGACATTTATAGTGATTCAATGCAAAATCGCAAAACGAAAACAATAGTCCTTCAGGGACGAAGCCCCTTTGGAGTAATAATTTTCTAATTATACAAGCAAAGACCGGAGGAACGTAATAATTAACATTTCCTAATTTTTATAGACATGAATTTTGAAAAAAAAAAAGTGCCGCATAGCCAGTACACTATTGCAGATTTAAGGAGATGGGGCTGATAAACTATACATTTTAATGGTTCTATAAATCCTTTTGATAAAGGAAAAATAATTTCCATAGTTCAGTGGTATAAAACAATATTGATAAGCCCCATTAATGCATTCCAGACTCTTAATATTAAAAATAATGATGTTTAATTAAAATTTTAGATAATATATACAGTCTTAAATTTATTATCGAAAATAGATAAGAGGGTCTCAGAACTTAACTTACAATAGTTTTATGCCAGCAGCAAAATCTATTTGTATATAATATACTACATATTGTTTTAAAGATAGATATTTTATTTTTCTGGCATCCTCGATATTGACAGACTGGCAATAAATAGATGTGTTGACTTATTTCCTGGAAATAAATGTAACAGCTAGTGCGACGACAGATGAAGAATAAATACATAGAGCACCATGCCAAACCGTGAAAAGATATTGCTTTGTAGGGCTTCTGACTTAAGGAGCAATATCCCCACAAGGTCTCAAATAGCCACCATGACAGAGAGCAAAATAATTGTAATGCCTAGTGTAACTGCACAGCAAAATGCCAGAAAACACTTACTAACTATCATCAGACACCACTGTCCTGACTAAAAATTCATTATTTTTCAAAAATAAAGAATACTTGCTGATATTCACTATGCATAGGTTCTGGAACTCCTGCCACATTTTCAGTGACAGATTTTGAACCATCAACCACATAGTTCCTCTTTAGCACCAAGTGATTTTTCCTCTCTTCCCAATTTCAAGAAACATCTTGGTGGCCATACTTATGTTTGAAGAAATAATCTACAAGCACTTACTTTTTTTTAGAATCCCCCTACAATGTTAGAATAATATTAAAAGAGGAAAAAACAAAATTTTCAAAAAATATATATAAATAAAAATTTTTGGACAGAATTTCTTAATTTTTTATTTTAATCATTAGCAATAAACAATCTGGTAAAAAGTGAAACAAATTAATTTTTTATTGACTAAAAATAAAAAGCAAAATTATAATGTACTTGTAAAAGGTCTATTCCTTCTTTACTAATTTCTGGCACTACAGATTCTAAAGATTTCTTTTTGTAGTTTTTAAAGGAAATCCAAGGTAATGGTACATCAGGCCACTCTTCTTCTGCTGGTGAACCCATTATTCTAGGAGAAAAAAAAAATCATTTTAGAAATTTACAAATACATCCACAACATCTCACCAATTATTGAATTTTACAAGATATAATTTTAACACATATTCTAGCCTAAAATTTCTAAGAAGAAAAATTAGTTCATTCTCTTCTCTAAAGTGATACAGCTAAAGAGCTTTGTTCTGGGAGTTTTCCTTCATCATAATACAGGGACAACTCAAAGATGTTTTTCTTTGGGTATTAGGATAATATTATGGAAGACAAGTTTGCCAATTTGAAATTTCAGACTATGCAAAATTCAATTTCGGACTCGCACTGTGTTCATAAAAAAATTACTGAGATTCTTTTTGCTTCTTGAAAAGAAATATGTATCATTTTCCTTCAAAATGCTTATAATATGAGGGATATGGAAGATAAGCTTTTGGCCTTTAAATTAACAGCTTAGTACTGATGTGGAACTGTGACCCTAGGAGATTGTAGAAATCTATGCAAGGGAATGATTGTTAATTTTATGGATAATGTAACTGTACACAGTGCACTTTTGCATAGCCACACAGCTGAACTTTCACATAGCCACAAGAATGAACTTCTAATGTACCTTAATATGAAAATTATATAAGTCTGCACTATAACTATATTTGTCATTTTATGTCTTAATTTATTAAATGTTGCAACTAGCAAGGAAAGCTATTCAACTTTTCGCTGATAATCAGCAAGAAAATCTCGGGGATCATTATGCATATAAATAAAAGAGTAGGTGCAAAGTGTGGCATTTCACAGTTAGTCATCCACAGCTTCGAGAACAGGGCACATAAAGTGGTACAAGTGTAATTTTTGCAGCTATAGATTCGCAAACATACTGTATCTGAATCAGAAGAATGATACAGCATATTTCTGTCATGTGGCATGCAGATCATACAGCCACAATGACTTTTTTTAGTGCAATACAGAGCATGGGCACCTATTAATATGCTAATAACAGGGTTACCATTCAAACAGAAGAAGGAAATTTAATGACTTTTTCCAGGTGTGTTTTAAGAAAATTCCAGTCTATCCACTTAGTGCACATTGGCTGTGCTGAGAGGTAAATTAATTACGGTACCATTTAAAAACACAAAAATTTGCCAACATATTTTTATAAAATCCTCAAAGCATTACTGTTATAATAAGAGTTGTTTTCTCCACTGAAGATTTGAGATTAGCATCTGCCCAATCTGGATTAAAAGACGCCTTTTATTGCAGACATTTTGCAGCTAAACAAAAGGAAGAAATCTATTTAATGATATTTTAAAGTAAATTTAGGTATTTTATATCTATTTAGCAGCATATATAAGCAAAAAATTTGTGCATTAAATTTCGTGATAGTATGTCATCATACTGCTAGAATTAAATTTAGAATTATGCCACAGAAAATTGCCTGAAATTTAAAAGTATTATTAACTAAATAAATTTAGAGGAAAGAAGCAACATTAATGATATGAATAACATTAAAATAAAGTTAATTACTTAAAAATTGAATTACAATAATCAACAATATGTTGGTGAATATAGTTATATTAAATGGTTAACCTAGATGACTATTACTATTTTTTTTTATTATTATTTTACAGAAAAACTGCAAATAAGGCATTTATTAAAAAGAAAAAAAAAAAAGCTTAAAAGATTTTGCGGTAAAATTCTAGTATATGTTTGGCATGATTCTGAAAATTGTCGCTAATACCAAAATGACCCATTTATTGCTTATCATAATGTCGCCAAATCCTGTGTATACCATACATGGAGGTTAGAGTAGAGTACATGGAGGCTATTCTAACCTCCCTGGCACCATATGCTGAGATTAAACCAATTTTGTTTTATACGAGAATTGGAAGGTATTTTTTTTAGTTCAACATGCATTGCACATTCACATGCGAGTCTCTTGATTCTCAAGGTTACTGGAAACTTGCTTTACCTTTCTAAAAGATAATCTGATTGGAGCTGTGGAAATTGGTTCTACACCAGCTACCCGAATGATGCTTTACACGATACATAATTTGCCAAGAAAGTGATCGTTTCCAACGTAAAGTTGAGTAAGAAAGTAATCATTTTTTTGGGGATCGCCGTATGAAATTCCCTGACTTTTCCAGATTTTGACCAAAATATTTCAATTCTTTGACTTTTCCCTGATTTTTTTTTTTTTTTTTTTGGGTCAATTTTCGAATTCCTTGACATTTTCCGGTTTTCCGTGTAGCGTGGCAACCCTGTAATATGCAGTATTGTGGAGTAAGTATAAATATCAGTGATGAAAGTGACACAGAAATACCTTACAGATGACACACTTTCAACATACACTGGTAAGTGCTTTGTCATGGAGTAGTTAATCCTCTCAGTGCAATGAATTCCTAAGCAGCAGCTGTCTAAAAACACAGAACGATTCTGACTAAAGTGCGAGAAATGGTAATAGCTCTTTAATTAAATGCTACAATGTATATGTATATATACATCAAATTTCAGATGGCATGTGCATGAATTTTGCAATTTACCAATGACTTTTAACAGAAAGATATGGGCCAAAGTAACAGTTATCCTAATTTTAAAACTCACATAGATTTCCTTCACCACTTAAAATGTCTCTTCCAGTCCAGATAATTCTGACCCCCCCATGACTGTATACTCACCCTCAAATGACTGGATACATAAGCACCAGTTGGAAATGGCCAAATAAATGGTCATTTAACCATCTCATCCAAAATTATGTTGCTCAGAGTCATCATACGGGCAGACTGATCCATGGGAAAATGGAAAAACAACTAAAAACATGAATTAAAGATTTCAACCAAGATGCAAAGGCTGGGCAACTAGCTCATTTACCACCATGCCAATAAAGTGACCTGTTCCGGATACAAAACTATATTGTGTATGACATGCATCTGTGTCTAGTACTCTTGTTACCTACTCAGGATACTACATCATCTTTGCTTTCTCTCATCTCATTAACATATCATGAAGAGACATATATCTATGATGTGCAACTTTATCATGAGGTATGTGATCTCTGCTGATGCTTGAATGCCTCAAACGAAACAAATATGTTATGTTTGTCAATCTATGACTGCAAATTGTAGATGCATGTGTCACTTTATATGCAGAGACTGCAGGCTCAATAGTGGCCGAGTGATAACTAAACACTGGTAGTTTGCTCGGGATTTGAATACTGGCAAATGAGCTGGCTGCATGGGCATTTACATGATTTTCCCCATATGTATTGAGTATATGAGCCAGTTTTCCTTAGAAAGTCCTTTACAAAGGCATCACTTCCCTTAGACAGATTTGAGTGCTTTGCTATGCTTAAATAAACCAAACCAAATCATTCAGCGGTTGAAGACAATTGTCAAATACAGTTGCCACCTGTTACTTTGTTTACATTCTTGATTATACCTGGAAGTTTCATGGCAGTTGTTGTCAGGAAGTCCAACAACTTTTCTTGTGAAAAAACAGTTGTAAAACTTTCACTGAAAGCATTATACAAGTAAACAAATAAATATTAAGCTTTTTCTTTTTGTAAATTTTGATACCCTTTAGATCATAATTGTTCTTTATTTCATAAATTACGGTTTCATATTTTTAATTTTGTAATTTCTGCATGCCATCCTACAAGATTTAAACTGATGATCTATAATCCGGAAAAATCGATAATTATACAGTCAAAAGTCGTTAATTCGGACACCCATAATCCGGAATGATCTATAGTCCGGACCTCAAAGCTACAACTTTCTGCGCATGCGTCGAATTGAAGCATGCGCATAGTCATTTACGTGTGCACGTAAGACCTTTACGACTGTGAATATGCGTGTGCGCGTGCACATAAAACGTTTACGCATGCGCGTTTAATGTATAACGGATGGTATAAGCTAAGCTAAAATTATCTAATTCAGTTAATGTTGCAGATTGCGTTGTTTCTTAATCTTCGAATTGGATCCGGCTTATTATTTTTTGCAGACTGTTAGAGCAATTTTATAAAAGTAAGCTTGAACTTTTGATTATATCAAATAGAATTTTCGATATATGTTTGCTAATATGTAAAGTATCTAAAGCGAAAGTATGTTTCGAAATCCGAAATCTGTTTATCAATTTCACGCTGCTCGGCGGGGGGAACGCTGCGGCGCGCAATGAATTGGAAGTTGATCTGTCAGCACTATCCTTATCTTCAGGGCAGATGTTTTTATTTTATTTGGCTTATAATTCCTTACTAAATGTAGTATTTCATCTCGATGTACTCCATCTTTGATATGATTTAAACAAGTTCCTCATCATTATAATTCGCTTCCGATAGTGAAGAAAGTGACAGAGGTTATTGAAAACGAAAAAATTTTGATTGACAAATTAGTCGGTATTCTCGACACAGCAATTATAGGACTTGAACAGCGGAACTTTTTAACTGAACAAGAAATTATGTCTGTTTAATAGAATTAAAGAGAAAGTATTATCACATGAAACAAAGCAACTTAAACAACTTACATTGAAAGAAATGTTTAATAAAGTAAACAAATAAATATTAAGCTTTTTCTTTTTGTAAATTTTGATACCCTTTAGATCATAATTGTTCTTTATTTCATAAATTACGGTTTCATATTTTTAATTTTGTAATTTCTGCATGCCATCCTACAAGATTTAAACTGATGATCTATAATCCGGAAAAATCGATAATCCGGAATCGCCAAAGTCCCGACGAGTCCAGATTAATGACTTTTGACTGTATTAAATTTTTTTAATTTCCATAACTGTTTAAGTAAAATTGTGTGTTTTCAAATTCTCCAATGAATAACTTGTTATTTCTATTCAAAGATAACTCTTTTTCTGACTTAAATGAAAATTTTTAAACTTTTCGAGTAACATTAGAAATTTGTTACACTTGATATTTCAAATTATGTACGTACTTAAACTTTTTTTCTCTTTAAATTCTTTTTTTAGAAAAATAATGGAAGATAATACTTACTCAAATATCTTCCGTAGCTGGTCAACCTCTGACATTCCACGAAATAAAGGTCTACAATGAGACAATTAGAAACTTAAGAAAATATATATATATATATAAAGAATATTTTATAATCCACAAAAAAATTTGACATCTACTATTCTTTCTTGTTCACTCAGATTTGAATGTGGATTGAATTACCAATGTTTAGCAATCTTACCACTTGGTTCTGCTAGCCCTGTAACAATACGAATGAACAACAACAACAACAAAAAAAAAAAAACTGGTTTTACTGCTTGTTCATTGTGATAGACTTTTATATCCTTTCCAAATTTCATAATATTAGTCTCTATTTCCCCTTTTATTTTTAATTTAGGATCAGCAAATGTTTTTCAATGAAATCTGGTAACTGATAGAGTTAGCTTTAAAAAACACAATTCCTTTAGGTTATTGGAAAAAATAAGTCTATCAGTAGCTAGTGGCTAAACTCCGAGGCTCATAAGCAATGTTTCATTAAATTCCATAAACCTGCTATTGGTACAGGTTATTTCTTTATTATTCTGAGTAAGCATTTAGGTATATAATAATTTCCCATCATTGTCTATAACTCCTTACTATTCATTATAATGTTTATTTTGATTTGAATAACAGAAAATAGCTGTGTGTCTCTTTATTTCTTTGTAAAATTTTCGATTTGAAAAGAAATGCTTTACTGCTGCATCACTTAAGATATTGGCCAATCTTTCTTCACTTTAAGAAGCATAATCAATGCAAAAACAAATATTTCATAAATCAATAGTCAGAATGGTATAGTATAGAATAGTCAGCTTCAGTATTTAGGGAAAGAATATAACTCATTCTAAGTATAACAGCAGAAAAAAGTTTCATTATTATGCAAAGCTAAAAAATTGACATGTATTTTTTAGTATTCAAGAAAATGATATAGGATAGCAGATTAATTAGAAGAGAAGGACTTTCAAGAGTTTTCACTGTATTGCCTTCTTTAGTCGCAATTAAATGAATGAGGAACACAACAAACAGAATGAATCTTTGAGAACTTTCTGCTAGTTATGATGACACCCTCTGTAATAAACAGAAATCCCAGATGGCTTGTGTGTTTTGATCTTTATCCTTATTTTGTTATTTCTTTTCATTTTACAGGATATCAGTGCAGATATTAGAAAGCTCTTAAAGACTTGTTTGGTGTCATTCTGTTTCTGACACCCATCTTTCATTCAGTTTTAGCTGAAGAAGGCAATACTACATTGCAAATTGCTATTAAGTGCTTTTGTTTTAATTAGTCTATATGCATATTGTTGTTTTCTTCATTACTATTAGCTTTACTTATTTATTGCCAATATTTTGCATTACTGTTATTCTTTGCCAAAATGTGTTTCATATACAGCTGACGCAATATGATTAATAATGGATAAAAAAATCCTTTGTAGCCAAGGCAGCCTCGTGTTAATCAATGCTACTTACTTCTGTAGGCAACAAATCTCATTCACTCCTGAAGAGAGTCACAGCTACAGAATGATCTCTGGTGGAAACTGATAGGATAATATTACCTTCTTAATGCATTCCACATATGCTTTAACATATTAAAACCAAACTATGTTGGCTACTCCAATCTCTAAGGATTAATCTCCTCAGAAATTCTTTGATTAGTAACAACAGCAACAAAGATGTAAATACAGTCAAAAGTCTTTAATCCGGAATGATCTATAATCCGGACCTCAAAGCCACAAACTTTCTGCAAATAATATGTTTATGCATGTGCATAATACATTTATGCGTGCGTATAAAACATTTATGCATGCGTGTTTAATGTATAACAGACGGTATAAGCTAAGCTAAAATTATCTACTTATCTATTTCAGTTAATCTTGCAGATTGCATTGTTCCTTAATCTTTGAATTGGATCTGGCTTATTATTTTTTGCAGACTGTTAGAGCAATTTTATAAAAGTAAGCTTGAACTTTCGATTATGTGAAAAAGAATTTCTAATTCTGGAGCTGCCAAAGGATATACAAAGCGAAAGCATGCTTCAATGTCCATCAAACAAAAAGTGGAATTGCTGCAAAAAATGGATAAAGGCATATAATTTGTTTCTCTAACCATTCCGAAATCTCTTTATCAATTTCACGCTGCTCTGTGGGGATGGGGAGATCACGGCTCGCAATGAACTGGAAGTTGATCCGTCAGCACTATCCTTATCTTCAGGGCAGATGTTTTTATTTTATTTGGCTTATAATTCCTTACTAAATGTAGTATTTCATCTTCATGTACTCCGTCTTTGATATGATTTAAATCAAATTCCTCGTCATTATAAATATCACGAATACACATCAAATAGTTTTCTGGTTGCAATTTTCTAATTTTAACTATGCGTAATGTATGCTTTACGCATGCTCGCATTGAAAGAAATGTTTAATAAAAACAAATAAATATTAAGCTTTTATTTGTAAATTTTGATACCCTTTAGATAATAATGCTCTTTATTTCATAAATTACGGTTTCATATTTTTAATTTTATAATTTCTGCATGCCATCTTAATAGATTTAAATTGATGATCTATAATCCGGAATCACTGAAGTTCCAACGAGTCCGGATTAAAGACTTTTGACTGTATTTGTGTTTAACTCTGTTCTACATCTGTATATAGTGCAATATCAAATCTGTTCTCCTGATTACAAGGACATTAATTTTTAAATTCATTTTCATTGTGCGTAAAAGCACTTTTATAAATAAAAAATATTTTTCTATACTTGAATTTTCAATAATATTATGTTTTAAGAAAATTACAAAATTAATCAAGTTAATCAGAGAAAATTAAAATTTATGTGCGTTTGATGTGGTATTTATAGTACAGTCAGATTTTTTTTTCTACAAGTTGATATTTTTCTTTGCTAAAGTTCACCTTAAAAAGAAAATAAATAACTTTAGAAGGGACACATCTGTATAAGTGTGTAACATTAAGTGAAAATATTAAAGCATATGGAATAAAGAGTTAAATCCAATACAGAGGTGAAATATTTCATGTAAAATAAATTTATGCAGTTAAGCCAACCTATGTGCATTTTTAAGTATCATTAGATGATATTTTTTAATATGATACGGTATGAAGGATCATCATGGGTAAAGATGTACAGTCAAAAGTCGTTAATCCAGACTCGTCGGGACTTCAGCGATTCCTGATTATCGATTTTTCTGGATTATAGATCATCAGTTTAAATCTGGTAGGAAGGTATGCAGAAATTATAAAATTAAAAATATGAAACCGTAATTTATGAAATAAAGAACAATTATGATCTAAAGGGTATCAAAATTTACAAAAAGAAAAAGCTTAATATTTATTTGTTTACTTTATTAAACATTTCTTTCAATGTAAGTTGTTTAAGTTGCTTCATTTCATGTGATAATACTTTCTCTTTAATTCTGTTAAACAGACATAATTTCTTGTTCAGTTAAAAGTTCCACTGTTCAAGTCCTATAATTGCTGTGTCGAGAATACCGACTATTTCGTCAATCAAAATTTTTTCGTTTTCAATAACCTCTGCGTCACTTCCTTCACTATCGGAAGCAAATTATAATGAGAGGAATTTGATTTAAATCATATCAAAGACAGAATACATCGAGATGAAATACTACATTTAGTAAGGAATTATAAGCCAAATAAAATAAAAACATCTGCCCTGAAGATAAGGATAGTGCTGACAGATCAACTTCCAATTCATTGCGCGCCCCTGCCGCAGAGCTGCGTGAAATTGATAAACAGTTTTCGGAATGGTTAGAAAAACGAAGGATATGCCTTTATCCATTTTTTGCAGCAATTTCACTTTTTGTTTAATGGACTTCCAAACATACTTTCGCTTTGTAGATCCTTTACATATTAGTAAATATACATCGGAAATTCTGTTTGACATAATCAAAAGTTCAAGCTTACTTTTATAAAATTGCTCTACAGTGTGCAAAAAATAATAAGCCGGATCCAATTCGAAGATTAAGGAACAACACAATCTGCAACATTAACTGAATTAGATAATTTTAGCTTAGCTTATATCGTCCGTTATACATTAAACGTGCATGCATAAACATATTATGCGCTGGCGTACACGCATATTCGCAACAGTAAAGGTCTTACGCGACGACGCATGCGCAGAAAGTTTTTAGCTTTGAGGTCTGGATTATAGATCATTCTGGATTATGGGTGTCCCAATTACTGACTTTTGACTGTATTACAGATAATTGCTTACTCTGTTCTGTTCTCAGTATAGATTGATGTGATTCTTGATCTGGGATGTAGTGCAAAGTGCTCTAACCTGGTAATAATAGGTCACTAGGTATAATAGCCTCCTGCCTTCCTATTATTCCACTGGCCTTAAGGCACTAAATCTGTTACAAAGTGTTATTTCATAAGACTGGAAGATACTACCATTATACTGTGCTGCATTATTTTCTTCCTTCTGACACCAGTTGTTACGTTTTTCTTCCTTCACGTTCATATGGGTTTTGTGTGGATTTAGAGTGAATAATGACGACACTTGATGAAGTATCGAAACACACTTTATTAGCCAGTATTGTCAGGACAGCTCCAAAACACGTTTTACAGTCGTCGATGAATTACTATAAACACGCTGACATGATCAGCGACACAGCCTTCAGGTTATCAGGCTATCACGGTGGAGACAGCTTTCTCCAAAGCACCCAACTCTGCTTTCCGGAGTACAGCTCCCGACTCTACTTGGTCGTTCTCGGAACTCCACGTACTTTCGAGACTCTCCACGCTACAACTCACGATGCACTCAACGACACACGAACACAGCTCCTGACTCTTCGGTTCAGTCATTCCCGGAGCTCAACATACTCCCTCAACAATGCACTAACTGCGATACACTAACAGACTCCTTCGATGCACACGACGACCCACTTGGCACTCGCTGCCCGGCTGTCAACTCGATCGACTCCGCAGGGATTGACTCACTAGACGAGACACCAACTTGATACTGACTAACTCGCACTCTAGATGAGGCACACACACTGACTGCAGACCAGCAAGGTTTATATAGCT